GTAGCCCAGGCTGGCCTCGAACTCACAGAGATCCACCTGGCTCTGCCTCCCGAGTGCTGGGATTAGAGGTGTGCGCCACCACCGCCCGGCTTCAAACTGTTATTTTTACGTTGCGGAATTAAACACGAGATTGTGGATTCTCGGGGAAGCCAGAGGAGCATCAGATGACTGGGTAGCAGCTAAAGCAAATGGTCACATCAGACAGAGCTGTAAGACGTGAAAACGTTGTCGGAGCGTGGTTCTGAAAGATGTGCTAAGGCATCACGGACTTGTAAATTACAAGTCTCTGCCCACGAAGTCGTTTAAGTCAGCAATATTCAATCGCTAATTTGTTCAAAGGACAGTTTTTTATTGAATGGTCTTTTACAGCTAGACACGGGTAACGTGTGGAGAGCTTGTAGATCACGACTTTGCTGTAGCAGCTCTTTATCAAACAGAAAGAAAGGAGGGAAGGAGAAGGAAGTGTAAACGTGTGTCCAGAGGTTCGGGTCACGCGAGGCACGGTGAAGCCAGGTGACCTCTGCAGGCCATTGGTGAGGTCACCATCAGCCTCTTTGTGGGATATTCTTGTACTTAAGACTGTTTGCCATAGAAATGCTGGCAGCTGGTCAGGACCACGTGGCTCTTGTGCACCCCTAACAACTGCCTACTGCTCCCGAGTGACCTTTTCTCTTGGGGAGAGGAGACGCGAGTCGGGCGGCCGTATTAACCATTGGCCTTGTGCTTACTTTGCAGTCCAATAAAGTGCCGGTGGTGCAGCCGTCTCACGCCGTCCACCCCCTCACCCCCCTCATCACCTACAGTGACGAGCACTTTTCTCCAGGATCACACCCGTCACACATCCCATCAGATGTCAACTCCAAGCAAGGTAAGCACGTCTGGCCTGCCCGGGCCTCTTGCTGGTCAAGCGACCGTGTCTCCTGAGTATCTTTGGCTATATCTCCAGAGAGCCATCATGTAAGCTGTCTAGTGTGGTTCACAATCTCACAGCAGGTCCGAGCTGGAACACACATCGGCAGACTCCGCCGATATGAGTGAAAAAAGATGGGAGATTTAGAAGTCTTGGCAATCATTTGTTTAATCTTATGATGAGAACACACACACACACACACACACACACACACACACACACACACACACGCGCGCCAGGCATGGTGGCACACACCTTTAATCCCAGCACTTGGGAGGCAGAGGCATGTGGATCTCTGTGAGTTCGAGCCCAGCCTGGTCTACAAGAGCAAGTTCCAAGACAGCTAGGGCTACACAGAGAAACCATGTCTTGAAAACAACCAAAACAAGACAAAAAACCACAACACATTGCTTTTGAGTGGTTTTTCTCTGAAAAATTCTAGGACAGGTGAGTTTGGACCAACAGTTTATAACCTGCTGAATATATTTATGACTCCCTGGTTGTTTACCTTCCCCCTTGCTTGGCATCACCCTAATTTATCACTTCTCTAGGCATGTTTAAAGAAGGGCCCAGTGGTGTGAGCAGGTAGTTTTCTGCTTTCTCTAGTCTTTGTTTCCCTTTTTAAAATTTATGATTATTATAGTGTAATCCATACACGATTTCTAGTAGTTTTAATGTAGGTATCCTGGTTTTAATTACATGTTTGTCCTGGGCTTCATGCACCCATCTTCAGGTACCTCAGGGGATATGTAAACTGTGGTTTGAAGGTGCTCATTTACATACTGTTGAGTTTATGTGATACCATTTGCATACTTTGCCCCCCAAACCTGAACTAACTCATCTATTGCTTTATTCTTCTGGCTTCCTCAGTGTATATCATGTACCCCAACTAGAGACTAGAGTCACTAATGTTGATATTCCCATAGGCTAGTCAGCGTTATCTGGGGTGGGAGGGGATAACAGCATCATGTCATACAGGAGCCCTAGGCAGAAACACCCAGAAAACAGAAACTGTCTTTGGAAACCTTCTCATTCATAAGGAGTAAAATCCACATTGCTAATGTTCTAAGTTGGTCTGGCTGTCTTTGTGGAGTGATGGGTAGTTTGTTTGCAACTTGAACTTCCCAGAAGACCCAGAGATTTGAGGATTTGGGGATCTTAGGGTAAGGGAGCCAGCAACAAGTGGAAAAACTTTCCAAAGATCCTGAGGCATGAACTTCAGACTACCCTTACCCTTTCTGAGAAACAAGAAAAACATCCTAGGGAACAAATTTGGGGAGCCACTGGGATGGGATCAAAGGAAATTAGCATGTCCAACAAAATGGGGGGGAATTAAAGGAGATTTAAAGTGATTCTGAAAACAGCAAAATGCGCATTGACCTGAGGCAAGAGCCCTATTGACTGCGACCTGAAGACGATTTTCCTCTCTGCTGCTTTGTGAAGGAACTGAGCGGTGGTTTGTCTTAAACACACAAGTAATAATCAACATTGGAGGTAGCACACCAGTCCTTCTCTCATGCTCAGGTCCTGTGGTATCTTAAGACCCACGTCAAGTCCATGGGCATGTCAAGTATTTAGAGAGCTCCTCTCATGTGCTCATCTATTTCCACATATTGGCAATGTATTTAGTCGCTGACTGGTGACTCTTGGTAAGTCCCTATGCCCGAGATGCAGATGATCTTTTGAAGCTGTGGACATCCATATGTAGTAAGTTCCCTACAGCGACTCAGACACACCTCTCCCAGGACATTAAGTCTCACATTTCACGTGTTGTGTATTTCTCGTGTCAATTCTGTTTGCCCCTCTACCTAAGGTAAGGAAGGTCTGAGAAGGAATGTCATCTGGGCCTAGCATTAGGTGGGTGTCACAGTTACAGGACACTCAGCTCCCAGGAGAGCTCAAGCATGAGAGACAATTTGGTGGCATTCTCCTTCGCTGGAGAATACAGCTAATCCAGAACAGTGTGACCTTGGAGCCCAGAGGACTGGAGCTGATGAGGAGCTTACAGGCAGCTGAAATGGCGGTGGAGAACAAATGAATCATATCAAGTGTGACCACTACGAGGCTGAAGAGGATTCCTAATTAATCTTTGATCCTCTGAGGTATCACATTTCCCAAATCTATGTGTCCATAAGGGAACCAATGAAAAATGGCAATTTCCCTAATCTCTGAGCCCCATGGCAGGCCGTCTTCCTGTGAAGGGCTGTCATTTTCCATCCTCCACGAAAACACTGGTCTGCCATTTTCTTCAAGTGAAATAATGAAGGCAGACTAGATTATCAAAAGACTGCTCCCAGGGCTGTTTTCCTGGCGGTGTATTCGTTCCTGCATGGATTTCCTCAGCTACAGCTGCCTGTCTGAAGACCCTGTTTCCCAGGTGTCCGAAGTCCTAAGAAAGCCTCATTCCGTGCGCCAGGCCTGGCGGGCAGTTCCTGTCCTGTAAATGGCATGAAGCATTTTACAGCCTTTCTCCTGCTCTTCCGCATGATGGTCCCCTGAATGTAAACACCATGCATTTCCGTTCCTTTTAACAGGCATGTCCAGACACCCTCCAGCTCCTGAAATCCCCACCTTCTACCCCCTGTCTCCGGGTGCCGTTGGGCAGATCACCCCACCCCTCGGCTGGTAAGAGCACTCCTGCAACCTTGGGTTGAGTGTTGGCACACGCGTCCTCCCCGTTTCCATTCGTGGGAGTGAGCTCCGTGCGTGGTTGCACTCGGGGAATGAGAGATCTTACCGCAACAGGCAAGGTGCTAACTTTATTTCATTTCAATTTGAAAGATTAAAAAAAAACACACACACACACACACACACAGAGGGACTTTGAAATGGATTGAATCTGTCCGCTAATTTGTGTAGAAAATGACTTCATAGCATTCGCTTTGAAGCTTATAGTTTTATGGATTCCGTTTGTGGCTTTGGGCATTTGCAATGCCATATGATGCTGAGGCTCAGTGGCTTTCCTCTCCCAGGTTCTCTTTATCAACCCATATTTTTGAACCGTGAACTTAGACTTGCTGGACATCTCCTTTTGCTTCTAAGTGACCAGGCTAATGACAAGGGCTAACGAGAAATGAACAGGACGCTAGCGTCTTGCGAATGTCAATGAGCAAGCACCCAAGCTCACCTCAGGGGGCCAAGAAAGGACTTGGGCGCTTCGGTTTTCTTCAGACTTCAAATGCCGGTGTTTCCCTTTGTGACGGTTATTTCCGGAAACACTCCAAATGCTGCTGCCCGTTCACTTTTTTTTTTTTTTTTAATTGCAAAGATAAAGGAAGCAGCTGGTGAGAAGAGTGTGGCTGTTGGTACACAGCTTTCTCCTCCAGCTCAGTGCCGGTCCCTCCTCCCCTCCTCAGTTTCCCCTCGTTGAGGGGGTGCTGCAGCTGGGCAGACCCCTCTGCCCGTTTTCTAGTCAGCCTGCTGCCCCCACAGCCCCCATACCATGGCCTTGTCTGCACACCCAGACATTCTGACATTTTCTCCAGCAAGGCCAAGTCTCTCGCTCCCTCCCCCTTTAGCGTTCCATCTCTCAGTCCATGAGTTTGATTGATTGTGTGTACACGTCCAGCCCTAGCTCAGTTTGACTGCCTGAACTCAGCCACTCAGGAGCAATATGCCTAGGCCATCGCTGGTGGCTGGAAATAACCACTGGAAAAGAAAAGGTGGGGCTTGAGAGGAGAGAGGGGAAGAAGGGCCTCTTGGGGAGGAGAACAGTAATTGCAGTGATTCAGTCTTTGATTTCTTCACTCTTAACAGGGGTATATCATTGGGGAGGGGTCTCTGAAATGTTTATTTATTTTTATGTAGATAGAACAGTTGGCGCCCTTTCTATTTCTAAATTCTCAAAGGTTTGGATGAAGAGCTGGTTAAGCTGCTTCTCCGAAGGCATAGCTTACTATTCTGTGGGCTGCATTATATTCAATAAGCATCTTTTAAGTCCTACTCTGCATTAAAGGTGCTGGGTACGGGAAGGGATAAAGAATCATTGACGGGCTAGCTTGTGTTCAGAGCCGAGGGAGGGAGAGTTTTCTTCAAGGCACACGGGGCTTTGCCGGGGGAGATGTGGGAGGGTAAGGGAGGAAGATGATGGTATGTAAAAGTGCTGCCCCCACCCCTCACCCCCACCCCCCACTGCCTTCCGACGCCCCTCCTGTCTGTCACCAAACTCCTACTGCTAGTTGGTAACTGGTGTTGTGTCATTGATGGGTTCCTCTCTTCTGTGACCTCAGGCAAGGTCAGCCTGTATATCCCATCACGGGTGGATTCAGGCAGCCCTACCCATCCTCTCTGTCAGGCGACACTTCCATGTCCAGGTAGGTGGGGGTGGGCCGGCCAGGCTGCTCCCCTGCTCGCACTGTGCGCACCCCGCCCCGCTTGCCCCTGGGCTGGCTGGCTAGGGGTGCCTAGCCCAGCCCCCTGCGTGTGTCCCTGCAGTGTGCCTGGCTCCCACACTAGGTGTCAGAATGACTCCGAGGCACCAGCCGCACTAGGGAACGTTGCAACTCCAGGATTCGTGGCCACCACCTGCCTGTGGGATGACACGTATCCCCAAAGAAGATGTTAGAAGAGCTTGTGTGATTTAGAGCACTGGGGGCGGGGGCGGGGGCGGGGTCTGAGAAAGGACCGTGAAAGAAGTTGGGTCTGAGTTCTACCACTGCTTCCTCTGTGGAAACATAAATCAGTTTAATGCGGCAGTCCTTGAAAACACCCCCATAGTCAAGACCCTTCCTCAACTGGCCTTTGGCTTTTGACGGGAGAGAGGGCAGTAGGCGCACAGCTGTGACGGCAGGATGTGCATCCTAGTGTGTGAATCAGGCCCTGTGTGGACATGTTTCTGCAAGTGAAGCCCTCTGGGGCTGCTCTGTGTGGCGCTTCTGCTTCTGGAAGGGATGCCTTCTGTGTGTTTGATGTACCTGATGCACACACAGCTTTGTGCTGTATCATCTGTGTGTCCCACGTGGCTTTCCTGAGGAAGCTAGTCTGTGCTGGAAGTCTAATGGTGAGCTATTAACTGGCTGTCGATCTGTCTTTTTTTTTTTTTAATGTGGGTTTGATGTTTATAGTTTGTGTGGTAAATTTCAGCTTCAAAATATATATATTCTTTGTTCAGTGAAATATAAATCTAGATGGCTAGGTTGGTTAGTTGTCTTCCTTTTTATGGTCTTCAACACTGAGAACTGAAGACAAAGATTTCCTCGCAGGGACACAAACACATCAAGCATCAGGTGTCTTCACATTTAGCGAGGCATCATGACTTGGTCAGATATTTGTATTTTGGTCTCCTTAATAATGAAGAAGTTTGTTTCTAAAGTACTAGACACCCTGTGGACATCCTTTTCTCCTTTCCCAGTGAGAGGTTGATTGTACAGGCTTTGGTAAAAACCAAAGAATGGTTTTCTTATGAAATTAAGCTTTTACTATAAAGTTGATCAGAAAGAAAAAAAAATTCTAAGGCATATCCAAATTTTACTCAGTATTTACTGAGCTATGTCAGCAAACATCTGGAACATTATCTTTTTCTAGCAAGAGAGGTTCCTCCCTTTGCCGTGGCTGGTGGTAGACAGGTTAACGTATTGAATGCTACATATTATTGCCCTGGAGAAAGGCATTAGCAGGTGGAGATTTTGCCCGGATGCAGAATCATGTACCTCCCGATGACTTAACCCTTGCCTGCCCTTAACTCCGGAACCAGCTCTTCCTCAGGCCCTGTCTCCCAGACTTCACCGCTGTGTGGAAGGTCGATTTGGACGATGTGAATGACCACCTGATAAGTGAGGAGCTGAGAGGGCTCTCCCCGCCCGCCCATCTCTCAGTTGTTCCCTTCTGACGTTGACGTAACAGTCAGCAGTACGGGAGCACTTCCTGTGCGATTTTAAAATGTGATGACTGGTTGAATCTTAATAGAGGGTCATGTTTCCATTCATTCCCCTTATTGAAATTTTTGTTGGAAAGTTGCTTTGCAAGAAAACAGATTCAACTTCCCCTGATCTTGTGCCTGCTGCCTTCCTGAGAAAGAATGCCAGTTTGAAAAACTCCAGGGAATAATTATATTTTCCAGCTGAAAACAGAAAGAAAACAGTTGTTATTCTGCCTCATAGTTAATACTCAGGTGTATGCACATACGTCGTCTCTCACAGCCAGTGGCGGTTGGTGAGTGGTCTTCTAACTGCCTAGGTTTGGCCGCAATGGCAGCAGTGCGGACTCTTCTCTCTCCGTATAGGTTCTCCCATCATATGATTCCTGGTCCTCCTGGCCCTCACACAACCGGCATCCCTCACCCAGCTATCGTAACGCCTCAGGTCAAACAGGAGCACCCCCACACCGACAGCGACCTAATGCACGTGTAAGTAGGGCACCCCACCCCACATGACCCCACCCCACATGACCCCCCCACATGACCCCCCCCCCCCACACACACACACCCCCGCGCGCACCTCGGGTCTCTGAGCCCCCTCTTCTGTTGTGACATTCCATGTAGCTCAGCTCATGGAATGCTCTGTCCCTGAGAACGGGGACTCGACTCTGACTCTGGAAAGGACCACACGATTGACAGTTCATGGACACTCGCCCTCCTGTGAATACCAGACAGTGTTCTGGATTTACTTGGGAGGGATCATGAGCTGCAGACCACTTCCCACACCAGACTTGCCTTTCGTGAAGTGAAACAGAGTGGCAGGCTCAGTGCACATCATTCTGGAAACGCAATTACCCGGGTTAGCGTCCTCAGCAGCACAGAATTCAAGAAAACGTGGTCATTGGCCTGAGATTCCCTGTTGGGCCAGCCTTGGTTCAAACTTTCTGAGTCAGGCTGTGTTACCTTGTCCTGGAGGAATAAGAAATGATGCCTCTATGGTCTGTGGATGAGAAGGGTAGGACAAGCAATGTATGGTAGCCCATAAAGGTCCTGAAAATATATAAATATATATTTGTTTAGAAGATGTGAGTTTGTTCCCAGTAGCCATGTCAGAAAGCCAGCTGTGGTGGCACATGCCCATAATCCCAGCACTGGGGAGGCAGAGGCAAAAGGAACCGTGAGGCTGGTGTGGCCCCGGGCCAGTGAAAGACCCTTTCTAAACAAACCAACAACCAAGATGGCTGTCAACCGAGGATCAACACCCAAGGCTGGCCTCTGACACACACACACACACACACACACACACACACACACACACACACACACACCCTGGGGGGAGGGGTTGGAGGGTGACCACTTGCTTTTCAAAGTGTCCTTCATCCCCATTCCCCCCAAGTGAACACCCATCGCAGAGGAAGATGAGTGATCACTAGTTTGTGTCCAGCTTCTTTGGAGGTGACCAAGGGCCTCACCCCTGGGGCCCTGGTTGGAGCTTTCTCAGAGGGAAGGAGCCTTATTCGCTGTCACTGTGTAAATGAAGAGATCCTGTGCTTTGGTTGTGTGCAACTTGGGTTTTCCTCACGTGAGCTCCACGCTGTTCCTCCATGTTGACGGTGTCCCGGGACGGCTTGCGGAGAACGGGGAGGGGCGTCCTCACACTGAGTTTGGCGGTGCGGAGAGACCTTCTCTCCCATCCCTTCCAACTCCTCCTGCCCCTTCCCTCCCCACCGCCACCTTTAGGAAGCCTCAGCATGAACAGAGAAAGGAGCAGGAGCCAAAAAGACCTCACATTAAGAAACCTCTGAACGCTTTCATGTTATACATGAAAGAAATGAGAGCGAACGTCGTAGCCGAGTGCACCCTAAAGGAGAGCGCGGCTATCAACCAGATCCTGGGCAGAAGGGTGAGTATCGGGGCGTGGGTAGTGTTCACGGCTGCCGTAGCGTGGCCTCACTAAAACGTGCTGAGATGTAGGTCCGTGTCAGGTGGTACGTGTGTGCACGTGTGTTTCTGGGAAGTGGGGCACAAGGTACAGTGATAGGGTGTGTGGTAAACAATGTTGACTGTACCTGGAACATAGGAAACTTCCTGGAACTGATAACTGCTTTTAGCACTATTCTTTAACCAATATTTACCAAGTGTCTTTATTTGTCTCTGGTGATGCTTGGTGACGGTCGCCGAACAAGACAGCCACAGCCCCTGCCTTCTTGGTGTTTTGTGGCCAGATATAGATAGTAGCCAAAAATAAAAAATAAATAACAATAATGAAACTAGAATTTGTAGTAAATACTGTGGGTGTAATGAGCAAGATTATATAAGAGACCGTCAGGGGCCAGCACACGCCCTTCTGAGGACGCGTACGATGAGACTGGAGGGACGATGAGACCGGAGGGACATGATGAGACTGGAGGGACGCAGCCGCTAGGGGGAGATTTCCCCATCTGGAGTAGTGTGGGGAGAGGGGTGAGGGCTGACAGCGGGGTCTCTAAACCCACAGAAGGAGCTACAGTAGGGCTTCTGGGAGACTAGCCCAGAGGAGAGAGGAAGCCACACCTTCCCCGAAGAAGCAGAGCTGCTGTGCTCTGAGATGCTAAGACCTGAGGGGCCGGAGACGTCATGTTTCTAGAGAGGCGTTCTACAGCTCAGAGCCCCCACGTGCTGTGTTTCTGGTCGTCCTTCTCCCTGGCGTCCCTCCGTCAGCCCCCGCTCTTGTTTTTTTTCTTAGCTCTTGTCATACACGGAGGTCCTAGACTATAACCAGGTGTTGGGAACTCTTAAAATCCCTTCTCCAACAGCTGTCCAAAAGACTAGCCCTTCCGTCTAGTGCTTTCCCATAGGATTGAAAAGGTCTTAGCTTGATATCTGTAGATCGATCGGTAGGGCAAAGTCAAAGTCATCTAATCCAAAAGCTACATTTTTACTGACACACATTACAGTTCATTAGGAATGCACCAGTGCTCACCACATGTGTGCGGTAGCTTTTTAGTTTATGGCCCCTGTATATGTGTTTGGGCTTTTTTTTTTTTAAGTTCAGATGAGGTGAGGAGGCTCTAACCACCCCTGGGAAGCATAGAGAGGATTGTGTGTTAGCTGCCATTGATGACACTTCCCTGTGCTCTCAGCTCAATCCATTGGAACATTCATAAAGACAGTCAGGAGGCCGGCAGCCAACACAGACTACAGAAGCAGCCCTTGAGTTACGGATTCCCACTGGAGAGCCTCAACCCGTTGCCAGCTCCAATCTGTGAGACACAGAGCTCTCGAGACTGGACACAGCGGCAGATTGTAGTCTTTGCTGTTCCGAGTGCAATGTCCTATCTCCCCATGGATTCTTAAACACTTAATAATGATAATTACAGTGATTCCCAAGCCAGATCTCAGCAGAGGAGTGATTCCATCAGCTTCCAAGGGCTCCACCTTAAAAGCCTAAAGGCTGGTAACCACTTTCTCTGACTTTCTAAATGAAGCGAGCAGAGGCAAAGAGGGATTGACGTTTTTTATTTCAGCTCGCATACCTCTCTTCGCTTTTTCCTTTTTTCCGGTTTTTGAGTCAGATGCCCCCTGGCCCTGCAGCAGGAATTATTTTCCTGCTCAAGAGGGTGAGGATATGATCTTTGAGGTATGTTTCCTCTTTTTAATGCACGTTTCCAACAATTGCTACTTTCTCAGCTCCCTGAACGGTCCCCAGACCCAAGCATGTGTGTCTCAAAGGCTGGTTCTCATTTGGGGGCTCTCTCTGTCTTTGATTTGGACACCTGTTTCTATTTATAGCCGCTGGATCTTTGATTAGGATCAGGTTTTCTGTCCTTTGAGCGTTCCCTCTGGCGGGGCGTACTTCCCAACTCTTTAAAGTTCTGCCTTTAAAAATCATGAAGTTACCCTAGTGCGATTAGACTGCTTGAAAGTGGATCTTAAATCCATCCTGGAACATTTTATCTTTGATTTTTTTAAAAAAAAAATTTCATCTTTACTGTCTTTAAAATAGAAATGCCCATTCCTATGAATGAATCAAAGTTATCTTAATATATATCATAAATACCAATGGCCCAAATCTTATTTGAAATAAACTGACTTGCCCAGCTTTGCTCAAAGTCTGCTTACAACAGATTTACTACAATTTGATTATTAGATTGTCTTAACAGTTGCTTAAAATTAAACTACCATTTCCCCCTGTGACTTGGCAAAATTTTTTTTTATAAAAATGTGTATTTTTCAGTAATCAACGAGTTAGTAAAATGTTTTCTTAGTTGAATTTCTGAAACCCCTGAAAGGAAGGGATTCTCTCCAGATTTTTACAGTTTTTTTCTTTACCCTCCAGTACTGTTGTGGAACCTACTACACAGGCTGCTAAACGCCCTTTGGTTCTTGACCACGTGTTGATGCTGGGTGCATTAGGAGTCACCCCGGAACTCAAACCGCATGGAGCACTAAGCTCACACCTTCTCCTCTTACTGTTTTGCCCTGAATGATAAATACCTGGTAGTTTGGGTAGAAGATCCAACTTTGATTTGCATTTTGGGGAGTTAATTTTAATTTACCATTCTAGAATTTTCTCAGGTTACAAGGCTCCCAATTCTGCCAATGTCCTCCTGTTGTAAAAGGTGGTGTAGACCCCAGGATGTCAGATGAGTAGAGGGACAGATTTAAAAGTGCCGGGCTTCTTGTCTTTCCACATTTTCTTCTCTTCACCCAGCTTAGGGGCATTTTTGCCTTTTGTTAGTCGCATTTATTCATCATGAGAGTTAGTAAATATCGATGATGGATGTTTTGTTATGCATACATACATTATACACACACATATACATACATACATACATACATACATACATACATACATACATACACATATATGCATACATGTATATAGTGTCCAGTTGGTTGAGGCTTCCTATGATAGGTCGCCCACTGGATGAGAGCGGAGTGGCTTTCTGGACAGAGTAGTCAGTGTGTCCATACATGCCTTCTCCTTTGGCTCCGTTTCTCCTCCGTTAGTTATTCTGCTAGTACAAAGAACTGTGTTTCCTGTAACTTCTTGTGTTAAGAGCTTGCTGCCACCTTTCCCTACTAGTTGTTATTGTTTTGTAGCAAAAGTATATTCCTGTGGGCCAGCGAGATGGCTTAGCAGGTAAAGGTGTTTGGCACTAAGCCTGCCAACACACACACACACACACACACACACACACACACACACACACACGCACGCACGCA